GCGCTCGGCAGGCGACAGCGCCCCCGGTGCCCAGGGCGCGGCCGGGGCGCGGGCGATCGGGCACCGCCCACACCTCGCGGGGATCCTCCCTCTGCTCCCGCCGCTGCCTTGATCTAGGCTCCACACCCACCTGCCTCTCCTCGTGGCTTCCACTCAGCTGCACCAGGCAAGGGGTCCGCAACCCCGCGGCCACCGCAAGCACGCGGCTGGGAAACCCTGGGACGCCCCGCCGAGACGCTCCCGGGGCTTCACGGATTTCCCGGACCTTCTCTTTTCCAGCTGCTCTGCTCTCCTGCCGCCCGACCCCTAAGCGACCAGAACCCGGGCTCCCTGATCCACTATGGGGAACTTGGGCGAGGACACTTGACTCCTGAAGGATGAGCCCCAGAGTAGTGTCCCATAAGCTTCAGAACAGACGGAAGCCCAGGTGGAATGTGAATCCACTTCGGGATCCTCCAGCCGCACTTGGGACCATTCCTTCCTAGTGAAAGTCAACCGGCTTTTCTGTGTTTGAGAATAAAGCTAGATGGGAGGCCGCTTTGACTCTTGCTTCTCACGGGGGCGCTGTTCATACCCTGGCTGGCTTGGTTTAGTAATCTATTTACTGGTTGGAAAACTATGCCAGGATCTCCCTTAGTAAAAGGGCCACACGGTGGATAGCCCAGGCCCCTCCACAACTTAGAGGTGTAATAAATACAATGAATTTGAACAAGATTGTTGGGCTCTGCAGGTTCCTGTCTTAGGCGCACCTTGATGGGTGGGGAATAAAGCAGTCAAAACAGTTGTGTGTCTTTCAGGAAAACACGTAACTTAAAACACCCTTTCTGTCTAAAAGAACCCAGGATATGGGAATATATGCAAAGTTGGGACCCCAACATTACTTTTGACCACGAATATCTAGATACTGGGTTTAAAATACATCCCATTTAGTCCTATGTACAGGAGGTGTCTTAAATTCCTGCCTCTGTAGATCTGACCTTGTGCTGAGCACTTTTTTTGAGTTGTCAAACTTGCTGAATGCTTTCTCTGAGAAATGATTGTTGTAACTCCATCACCCTCCAACAAGAAATCTCACTTGGCTCCTGTTTTTCTCTCATTGCGACTTCTGAAGTCTACACACCAAGAAGAGAATGCCTGGATTCTAAAACCTTTATCACAGCCCTGGCCTGTTCCCAAGCTCCAGAGCTACGTCCAGCCAGTCTTTGCAGGAAGTGCATTCCCCTGCCTTCAGTCTTCCCGTATAGTTTACATTTCTCTGCAGACAGCTTGACTCCAAGACCAACCTTGAAGCCATCTCTGCGACTGTGCAGCTATGGCAGTGGGTCCTGTGTTTCTTTACTTCTAGACTATTCTTTACTACCTCTCAGGCCCAAACTACCACAGCCTTTTCCAGGCCCATGTCATACTCTTAACCCTTTAGTGACCTTCATCTTAGACATCCAGAGCACACTGCGCCAGCTTTTTAAAGAGACACGAGGTGCTGTCTGATTTTTATTGCATATGTATACTTCACTGTATTGTCGTAAACTACAAGCTCCCCCAGGAAGGATTTAAGAATATCTTCACTGTTTTTTCGCCGCATATTTATTCAACAAACACTCTTTGCACAGCTTTTTTTCCATTCAATATTCGTCATTTGAATGGAATCTATAAAAGATATTAAGTTTAGAAAGACATTTTAACTTTTATTTTGGGTATACTGAAACTTCAACGGCACGGTGAACATTTTATACACTTAAAATGATCTTTAAATTTGCAGGCAAATGAAATGATCTAGAAAAAAAAAATCCTGTGTGAGGAAACCCAGACCCAGAAAGACAAATATAATATGTACTCACTCACAAGTAGATACCAGACATAAAGCGAAGGACAACCTGCCTGGAATCCACAACCCCAGAGAAGCTAGAATCTTCTTCCAGAAACAACTGCTGGACTACACCCCAAGTGAGGGAGGAGTGATAATAAAAACCAGGGGTCAAGACCAAGGTGAGGAAACCCACAGAATCAGCTGACCTGAGCTAGGGAAAGATCACTGACTCCAGACTAACAACTGAGGGACCTGCATAGAACCAAACGAGGCCCCTTGAATGCAGGTATCAATGGTGTGGCTTGGACTACCAAGTGGTATATGGTACCACTGGCAGTGGGACCAGGATCTAACTCCAATGCATGATTTGACTCTGAGGAGCCCATTCTGTATGGAAAGATAACTTGCTCAGCATAGGCATGGGGGGAGGGGAAGGCTTGGTCCTCCCTCAGTGAGGTGATGGGACAGACTTAGTTGACTTCCCCAGGGAAAGCCTTACCCTCACTTTTGAGCAAATGGGGGATGGGGTGGGAGGAAGGTGGGAAAAGTGGGAGGACAGGAGGGAGGGACGGAACTGGGATTGATATGTAAATAAATAAATAAATAAAACAACAAAAAAGTAGAAAAAATGATTACAAAAATTCCCTTTGTTAGTCCTATATCGGCAATACTATTGAATACCCCAGTGTGAACTTAATTATTTGGTAAATAATTGTTCAAAAATATTTGCCTTAAAGTGGGTCACATAGAATTGTCCTCAAAGATGGGAGAGTCAAGAGTGTTTATTTTGGTCTGGAAAGATCTCCGAAGTCAAAGAGCTCTTGCCACTTTTCCAGAGGACCCAATTCTCTGCATCCACAAGGCAACTCACAACTAGCTGTAATTCCAGTTCCAGGGGATTCGACAGTTTCTTCTTGCCTTAGAGGGTACCAGGTAAGCACATTGTGCACATATACACACTAACACATACAAAATAAAAATAAACTCTTTAAGTGAAATAAATTGCCCTTAACTTTGGTTAGATCTGAGAAACTTAAATCCATTTTTCTACCATGAGAATGATCACTAGCCCGATTGCAACGCTGTCATCTCCATTTTCTGAGAAGCAAGGAGCTAGGGGTTGGTTACCCACCCAGCTGCGGGGGTGCGTCTAAGGTGGAGTGATATGAAAACAGTTTCAGGATAGGGTATGCAATGTGATTCTGCTTACTGGGGCTTACTCACTCCAGAATGGGTTAGCGAGAATAAGGCATTGTGCACCAGTTGCAAAGGCAGAATTCTCACGAAGCACGGAGCTTTGGTTCCAACTGACAGCAGAAACTCCTGCACCGTTATCCTCATATGGCTGCACCTCTTCCGTGTATAAATTTCCATTTTCTCAATTTGTTCCTCAAAGGAAAATGTAACATGATGTCCCTGAAAAGTCAGACATGTTTTCATATTGCTTCTTAACTCATTTTTAATCTTTATTGAGATTTGTAGAAATGTTCCTTTTGCTTATATTTCAGTTTCTCAGATTCATCCTGTGATAGGAAGAAATTATATTAAAGAGGAGAAATGGTTGTTTACTGTGGTGTCAAACTGTCTCCCTGGTAAAAACTGCTAAAATAAACAGCCGTAGCACAGGTTAGCCTGAATTAGCCTGTCTGCAAATCAGCAGTCACAATGTCAATGACAAATGTGCTTCCTCGTGCCTCACAATGCTGTTATACAGCCTTTCCTGCATATATACAGCTTTTCCGCATATATACAGTTCACGGTATAGTATGTTCTTGGCTTTTTGTTGTTCAGTGCAGCATTTGAAAATATTTATTTTAGTCTAAATAACATCGGTATGTCTTCAGTCTCTCAAACAGGAATTTGAATTGTGTGTTGACCTGCAGAGTTTGTATACAGTAAAATAAAATAGTAAGGTTAGAGAATGATCAGTTTTTAAATGCATAAAGGTAATAATTTCCAAGTTTTTTGAAGACGTAACTTGGTGGTTTGATTCTTTAAGTATTTTATTTATTTATTTATTTAATGACAACTGAAGCCAGTGTAGTGACACAGGCCTATAGACGAATCTCAAATTACATACAGGCCAATGTGGGCTACCCAGAAAAATCTCCGTTTCAAAAGGAAAAAAAGAAAAGAAAACTTTAATTGAAGGTGGTGTACAACTTATTGAGTAAAACCAAGTAACAGAATGAATGTCAAAAGAAGAGTCTTCAAAAATGACACAGGTCCCGCTAAGAGAGAAAATAAAACCTATATAAATATAGTGTGCAAGCACATGTGCATGTGTGTGTGTGTGTGTGTGTGTGTGTGTGCGTGCACTAGCACAGTCTGGAAAAGGTTACATCACCAAGCTAACGAAACTGTCTCTAAACAGATAGGCAGGTTTGTTTTGTTTGTTCTAACTAGTCATATCAGAAGATGTGGTGATTATCACTTTCCTTAAACATCAGTACATAATAATACTATTTGTGCCTTTAATTAAAATCCAGTTTGCATATTGATTGTGACTACAGGTTTTTTTTTTAAGAGTATATACTATTGTGGGTTTTATTGTCATCCTGGAAACCTTGGATGGCAATAAGTTTTGTACCATGCTCTAATGTGCTTCAAAATTACCTTCTAAATAAAATGTAGGCACCTTTGGGGAGTTCTGAGAAACTTACAGAATCTTAGAAGCCACTGAACTCCTACACTCGGGTATCCAGGAAACCTTGGAAAATGAATGAGCCGTCTGAGCGTTCTTCACTGAGAAGATAAGT